ATGCTAACTATGTGAGATTACTATTTATCTGAAAAATCATACTCGTTAGTCTCTTGCTGCTTTTTTTGTGCATTGTACAACAGCACAATGCGAAGGCATGCTTGAATTAATGAATAACGCAAGAAACACGATTCGTATGCCAAAATATGGTGAAAAAATATTTCAACCTTTTGATTCCTCTGTAACCAAATGAAAAAGTGAGGTTGTGTTTCAATAATTCACAGAAGAATGAGGTTGTGTTTCAATATTTTGCCTCCAGGGTCGGTCTTCGTGCACGCGACCTATAGTAACAAACTTTTTCTGCATAGGCAGTAAAAGTAAACGACCTTTTCTGCCTGTTAAGTGTCATTAAAAAGACAATTTTAATGTCATTTGAAGGAAAATGCATTTATTTCATCGGAATTCTCCATGAGAAAAACAAAAAGTACACCGCACTTTCTGTAACAGTGAGAGTTCTTCTTGAATCAGGAACCATGCAAAATTGGATGATGAGGAGATCTTCGTATCAATTTTGGAAGTTATTTCAACTCCAGATTTCAAATTCTCCTGTGACAGTCATGCAAGAAATGTAGTATTTCTTCAGTGACGCGAAAAAAGTTTGACACAGGATATAAAAAGTAACTTTCCATTATCATTGCGCTCACCAAAACTTGGCTCGCTGGAAACATACCTGACTCCACCATAAACCTAAGTGGCTATCAAGTCTAGAGACACGACCGACCAAATCGATGAGGAGGAGGATATCTAGTGTACCTGAAAAACTCTGTCTTCGTGCAATTCCCTATTATGCAAACTCACCATGGTATTCCTGAAGTCGAAAATATCTGGTTTAATTCATCATCCAAGCATTTCTAATCCACTCTTGGATGTGTGTACAGACCATCATCATCATCCTCACATTCCGATTTGATACTCATTGATACAATTGATAGAATCAGTTATTCTTCAAATAACCTGGTCCTATTTGGAGATTTCAACTATCCATCACTCAAATGGCCATTGAATGAAATTCCTAGATCACGTGACAACAGCTCTATATTTTTTGTAATGTTGATCGTTTGTAGTTTGTCCCAGCTCATCATTTCACCTACACGATACAGAGCCAACTAGAAATTATTCCTCATGGATCTGTTGATTACAAATGATTACAAATGATTCTAATTTATTCCACAACTTCACCTCCGAATCTCCAATTGGCTGCTCAGACCATATCGTTATTACCTGTAATTTACAAATCATAACAAATGAAGAATCTCGTAATACTCGAATTGATCACAAAAAGCTGACTACCACATTGAACTCACCAAGCTGGGAGCCACTTCTCGTTTGTCCAGATGTAGATACCAAGTGGAAGTTTTTCTCTCACTCACTTCTCAATGCGATGAAATGCTGTTCATTCGAAATCGGTAGAAATGGAAACAGCAAGAAACCTTGGAAAAATGATGCATTTATCAACCGTTTCTATAGGAAAAGAAAACTCTGGTCGAGGTACAAATTGACAAGGAACCATATGGATTTGAATGCACACCGCATATTTCCTGAGGACCTCTCGCAAGATTTGAGGAATGCTAAGCGAATATATGAATCCGACCTCGCAGGAAAAAGAACGAAAGCCATCTACAGATATACCAGTAAAGGAATCCTGCCTCAAAGATGTCTATTTCTATAATACGTGATTTCAATGGAATTATTTGCGACTCTAACGATTTTGCTGCTGTAACATCTGCCAGAAATTTTTATAGATTCTTCTCTCCATTGGACACCTCGGCCCTATATACTTTCGATTGGTTCGTCACGATGTCCAAACTCGCTGAGCCACATTATATTTACTGTGAGAACTGTAGAGGAGAAGCTCAAAAATTTCAAGTAAGATGTATCACCTGGGCCAGATAATATTCCAGCCTTCATACTGACGAGATATGCATCAATCTTTTCAGTACCTCTTAGTCATATTTTCGAATCCTCCTTTGACTTCTCTCGCCTCCCCTCTGCCTGGCGACTTGGGTATGTTAGGCCCATTTATAAGAAAGACATGAACTCGACCCTGGTGACTACAGGCCAATAAGTTCTAGTATCCTTCTGTGCTGAAATCATGGAACGAATAGTTGTACTACCTTTTCTGCTAGAGAACGCGGCGTGATTCCAGCGTTCGACAAGGTACAACAAGATAAGCTATTGCACAAACTTGAACATTTTGGTGTCAGGAGAAAACTCCATAACTGGATAGCTGCATTTCTTCCTGACAGAGTGATCAGAGTGAGAGTGGGTACCAGTCACTCTAGTACTCATGACGTCACGTCTGGAGTACCCCTGGGATCGGCCTAGGGTCCAACATTATTTTTGGCATACGCATCAGACCTACATACGGCTCTTATATCCGATCATGCATTTTTCGCAGACGACAGCACATTTTTTGGCAACCCACCATCTAGTTCTAATGAACTATTATCTGATCTGTCATCAGAACGGAACTGGTGCGACATATGGGACATTCCTCTGAATATCGACAAGTGCTCTATCTACATATTGGCCCTACTAACCCAGAAGTAGACTATCACCTAGGTAATAAAATCATTCCTGCAGTGGAGAACCATAACGACCTAGGAGTCATTTTCGACAAGAAACTCACTGTGTCCAATCAGCTTGCAGCAGCTGTCCGTAAGGCACACAGTCGCACATACCTCCTCAACAAATGCTTTGACCATCCTGAACCAAGACTCTTCAATCAGCTTTCGTCTACATCTTGGATATGCTGTGCAGATAAGGTCTCCTATCTGGAGCTCGATTCTCGACGTTTTTCCAATGGAAAAGTGATCAAATCTTCATAGGAATTATGATTTAGTATTCTCGACATTTGTCGCTGGAAAGTGGTCTAATGAATTTCAGTGGTATATATTCACTTAGTGTTTCTCCACACGAATTCAAATTCCAATGGGTTATCAGTCCAGTAACTAAACTAACTAGAGTTCTGGTAGGTAATTCGAAAAGAATCAAATAACTATTTATTCAGGTACAAAATAGACATTCAGACATATGTCCACTTTTTTTTCTCTCTTCCATGATTGAAGAATAATTGCTTTCTTATGAAGAAAATGTTTCCAGAAACCCCCAATTTTTTCTTTTGCAATTTTTCTTATACACAACCTCAATTTCACCATGCATACATCACCACTACCAACTGAAATCTTTGGATCGTTGTAAATCAAAACAAGAATATCCCTGGAAAATATCAATATCTGATTGGTTGGGCACATAAACTATCACCGACATACCGTGTTTTCAATTTCACTGGGAAATAGCATTTCTATCGTGGTCGAGAATACTCTTCAAGATTCCCACGGGAATACGAACATGGGAAGCTTTACCAGTTGGAATGAATTCAACTGAAGTCGAGAATCGGGGACCTGGTGAGAGACATTCAACTTCTGGAAAGAGCCCAACGCAATGCAACACGAATGGTTGAAAGTTTCAAGGATCTCTCCTATGAACAACATCCATCGCGGCTAAGCCTCTCTTTGCTGAGTGACAGACGAGCCAGAGAAAACGCTATTCTGACGTATAGAATTCTGCATGATGACTTCTCTGTTGACCTATCCAACTCATTCCATCTACAGAACGATGATAGATTGAGAGGCCACACCATGAAGTTGAAGCAAGAAAATGTTCGAACCATACTCAGACAAAAATTTCTACAAATCGAGTATGTTCAAAGTGGAATGCATCACCTCGTGATGTTGTGTCAGCTCTCAGTGTGAACAGTTTCAAAAACTGGTTTTTACAACCCCGGTTAAGACCATGTGTACACCGCCTAGAATTTCGAATTTTAGCTTCAAGTGAAGGTTACAATATACATTTCGGAAACTTGATTTTGTTTTTTTCGATGTTCAACTATATCCGGAACAAACTATCATTTCCATTTCCATATTTCATAATCATGATACTAATCCGTAGACTATCGTATTTTGCAACAAATGTGCAATTTCACGGTGACCGATGATGAGTATAAATTGATAGTAATAAATCTATCAATGGGACTGGAAACTGACAATTTCGAACGAACAATTCACCGAATTAAATGTTCATGAAGTAAATTCGATATCTATACACACAACATTACGTTCCGCTAAATCATGTTGGCGATGCTATTGTACTGTAATATACTGTGTAATCGTATTTTACTGAACCCATTCATGTAGGAAATTACAAAGACCGACTCCATGCTGACGCTATTTAATGAGAGCGAAAGTTTGCAGGAGGCGAGTTATTTTTAAAACTGGTGCAAAGTACTTTTCCTATGGTCATTTCAGGGAGGGGTTTATTGCGCTATCATTTAGGTGTACAATGTGTAGAGAATTTCACACAATACCAGAAAGCATCCCACAAAATGTGACCAAACCACTGCTAACATCATATTAGTGAATCGGGTCACTCATAATGGGGAAGTTTTCTTTTTCATGATTATTTTTGCGACTTCGAGAAAAAACTTTGATGCCTACATATTTTTTCATTGATTTTAGGCAATATGCGGCTCCTTTGCCATTCGGATAACGTACTTACTGAAAAATATTTCGAGAATTATTTTCACGGGAGTGTCATTATCATTATTTCACCCTCGACTCTGACGAACATTTTCAAAAGTTCTGGAAAAATATCCGAAGTCATTAAATAATCAAAAATATATGCTCCTGTCACATTTCGATATAAAAAATCCATGTCACTGAAATACCGTCTTCCTCATTGTGAGTCAGAATTTATCACAAAGCTATGATTTTCACGTAATACTGGTTTTCATCATTCCCTACTTCGAATAGGTATATCTTTCCCGATATCAATCAGTTCATAGAAAAACGTCTGATCAGCCACAGGAATATTGGTAATGATTCTGGACCACGGTATATAAATCGATGAAATTCCAAATTAATGAACAGTGGAAATCAACTCATACACTTCGAAAGAATCAAATGATCCTATAGATTTCAGTCATTTATTTTTATTTACAGAGGATATCAGACTGTACTTTGGAGAATCGATCACACTCTACTTCAATTTCCTGGGATTCTACACCTACACTTTGGCTATTCCTGTTTTGCTCGGATTTCTGCAAATGTTGGTGTCTACAGAAACGATACCATTTTTCTGTATATTCAATGTTGTATGGGTAACTCTTGTTCTTGAGGTGAGTATTATTCCTATTACGATCCTGTAAATAGATTTGACAAAAAATACTTTGAGTAACAACTGCGGAAAATACTGTTTTTTGGACGAGCAGACAAAATTCTACCTGGACATATCAATGACTGGATGAGGCGCCAGTTTTCATTTTTCAGGGTATTGGTTCCTTCTTCAGGTATATTTTATATTCGATACCTAATATTATGCTACATGACATATATCGAACATTCTTTAGATATTTTTCAATTATAAGTACCTATACCATAGATCAAAGAGATTGATGGTGAAATTAAATTCACACTATAACTGAACATTCGATGAATGGATCGTGGATTGTTGAGTTCTTCTCTAGGAAATAAATTATTCGTTTTTCGTAGACGTTACTGTAGAGAACAGAGACCACAATAATCTTTCGAGAACATACTATTAATATTAGTCACATACTGTTTCCTGTGAAATATTGTAGGCCATTCATCAACTGGTAATCCTAAGAAGATTCACTACCAGCATATGACATGCTTGTCATAATTTCCATTCGTTTCTTTTCTAACCTGATTCTAGAGAAAGATGTACCATATGTTTCCATTATATCTGGGGAAATAAAGCGATTATTTCACTGATTATAAAATACACGTTTTTGAATGGTTGAAATGACCGTGTTGATAATCGGAAATATTATTTTTCCGTTGTTGTATTTCGGCAGTTGATTGGTTACTGGATACCTACATGGCTACGTTTTCGATTTTGTATTCGCTTCCTCATCACTTCCTCATTGGCAGTTTATAAAATAAAGAATATTAATGACTAACCAGAACACTGTCGATGCTTCAATTGAAACTCCAAACTTCTGCCAAGAACTAGATAGGTACACAATATTATTTCAAATTGAATTGACCCAAGAAAATTCGTTAGATAATTCTCAATAATTCATAATTCATAACTTTGACATAACCTTACTTGCACGACAAAACCGTCGACGCAGCATATACGTATTAATAATCAATTCGGATAATCTCTATCTGTTTCCATAGCGAAACATGAAGCCGATTTTTGAAGACAAATGACTATCCATAAGGAAAAGTTTTGAAACGATCAGACACATACTGCTTCGATTGAAAGGCTAGTAAACGTCATTGTCCACCGAAACGCATGACTTTGATGACTACTATAATAGCGCATGGCGCATGCGTGTCATGCCACCAAATCCTTATGGATATTCATTTGTTTCATATTTTTGGCTTCATCCTGGCACCCGTTATGATCCGTATTGTTTATTAATACGTATATGCGACGCAGCCGAAAACTCATCGAACATATCTTACTTATCCACAATGCTGAGTATTGTTTTGTTAGTTGCATAAAAGTTCTGTTGATGGTCTTTGGTTTATGGAGCGCGACGAAGCGGGGTTGATAGAGCTAATTTGAATTAAGAGGGCGGTGGCAGGAGATCAACAGAATTTGTTGATTCTTCAATAGAAGTCAATACACATAAAATGAATGACAAAAACCGTTCATTAAATTAAAGATCTGACACCTTGAAATACCGTGCAATCGGATAAATATATCTGGGAATAATTCACAGAATTTTGCAATCAGCGAAATCACCAACTGATGAAAGAAAATACATCCGATGAGAAATTCGGATATCCTCACGGAATGGGCATTCAATATGCGTAAATAAAAGTTTGCCAGAGTTATAAGTTTATTCTTGAAATAATCTCATCAAATTCAACTCGTTCAATCGAAGGTTATCGAAAAATTCATTTTCTTTTTCCAAACAAATTATGTTGCTTCATGCGCTATGCTCTCGTGCCAAGCAACATAATTTGCTTCCCGAAATCAAAGCAATTTGTATTTCGATGACCGTTGGATTGGAAATAGTAGACCTGTTTGATGGCCTCCACGATCTCCAGATCTCACGCCACTTTACTTCTTCCCATTAGGATAATTGAAACGGAACTAGAAACTCAACCGATGAATATGAATGATCTGGAAATGATCAGAGCTTTCTGTACTCGCAAGCTGATTCGACGACTTGAAGCATGTATGGCAAGTACTGGCAAAGTTTACAGAATTTTCGTAAACTTTGGAACTGGCCAACATTTTGTACAATTCATATAGTGTTATGTATTGTTCAAGGTCAATCTGAGCTTTCAAATGTGAGTTGAATAAAAACAAATATGGAATGCTATTTGAAAAACCAGAGGAAAGAATTCACATCGATTGTTTGCCAGGAGGAGGATTTTGTTTTGCTGCATGTAAACGCCTACGGTCTCCTTTTTCATGCGAATAACTGAAATATCTGCTGGCCTTGGAGCTCACGAATGACTGAGTAGTATAAAAGCCATAGGTAACTAAAAACACTGGCTTATCATGACAGGATCTTGGCCTAACCTGATCCCAATATTGTCCATGAGCCAAATCAAGTTTATACATAATCTTTGGTAGAAGTCCATGATTTCTCAAAGTGGAATAAACTATTATCTTGGGTGTCCCAGTATAGTTCCAATGAATTATCTCAGCCATTTCGAAAAATAGAAATTCGAAATTCTCATGATCTCCAATTCGTTTAAGGAAGCTTCAACTGAGAAAAACAAAAATTGAAAGTCACTTCCGGTTTGACCAGAAGTGACTCTTACTTTTTTATTTCGAATAGCACCCTGTATATTTTTTGCAATTGTTGATTTCTACCCAAAATTACCGTTCCAACGATGTATCTCACTTCGTATGTTAAATTTGATTTGACGGGGAAAACGACAATTGAAATTCCAAATTGAACGAATTGCAATGGGCTACGATATTTTTGTAATCTTGATTTTGAATTCAATAATAATTTCAAATCATTAGAATTGTAGTAGATCATGTAATTTTCAAATTTTCATCGTTTGAAATGGCTGAGATAATTTATTGGAACAGTAGGTATACTGGGACACCCGGTATACTGAATGATACTCAAAGTCATCTCCACGAGATCAAATGTGATCAACACATCAATGAGGATTAGAACATGTTTCGGACGAATATATCATCATTATGTCATGTCAACTTCTTGTAACAACTATAAAGAAAATACTATAATGAAGGGTTTTCATTATGAAAATATCATGGGGAAACACAACGAACCCCCGAGAATATGTGTATTGTGGTGGGAACCTACGAGTGGCCCATCAACGAATACCCATGGATACAATCTTGAAAAAGCGCAATAACGTCTCCATCTTGCCCTGTACCAGCACATGACGGGAGTCACCTGACCTAGGCGGAAAGGACAACGATGTGTCACACGTCACAAGTCAATAAGAACTTGTCTTTCTTATTAGTTGCGTTTTATTTGTTCCATTCTGGTAGCGGTGGTGGGAACAGAATGACGTTTACAAATGAAACGAGAAACTTCTTGACCTTGCCTAAGAGAATTGACATATCGAAGATAATAGAGGTTATATTCATATGGAGGTCCGAATAATTCGAAAATCAATATACTAGAGTTGAGAATCTAGAAAATAAATTATAAATGCATATTTGGAGCAGTGATTGTGGTGATTTTACAAACTTTCCTGAGATCGAGAGACTTCATCTTATCTGGGAATGAACATATGGAAACTGTCTTACTTGAAAAGATCATAAACTTGTGAACACCACGATAAAAATATCTTCTAAATGTCTTTTACTTTCAAAGAGTTTCGATCGTCGGCAATCTAATTCAATTCTTTGATAACTGTCAACAGTCAATCCACGTCATTCCTTGTAGTGAGACGGAATGAAAAGTAGCAACCGGAATCGGAAAAGTTGCAAATAAAACGACACATTAGATTGATTCCGGTGGCGGAATCGGATAAATAAAACGCAACTAATATTGACTTGTGACGTGTGTTGTCCTTTCCGCCTCTTGTATGGATTATTCCGCTGTTTGCGCAGTTTGGCATTTTTTTTTTCGATCAATTTCAGTGGACTATACATCAGACTTCCCTCATCACAATAACTTTTCTGAAGGTTTCTAGATAATTACAAGCTTGTATCACCCTCTCTATCCATGAATCTACTACCCAAAGTTGTTTCATGTTAACGAAATGTAATCTCACTCGTTAACCTCTCAGCTCAGCGATGATAAAAGGCAGTAGAGCAATAAAAGGGGGTCGAAGCATCTCGACTCGGCGTTCATTCGGGAAATATTATTGCATTTTAACTATTTATACGGCCGTAGAAGTTTGTAGTCACGAAGGCGATGAGAGTTAACGTCATTTCCGGTCGTGGGGCGGAAGAGGCGTCGTTAAGAGGAGGAAGTTGATGCGAAGCTGTTTTTCGCCTCAGACTGAGATTGGAATCTCGACACACTATTACGGGATACTTGTCCTAGGTCTGCGGAATTAATTCAAAAAAGTCTTGTAGTTTTCGTCATTGCATACATATCAAATCAATCAAATCAATCTGTGCTTTATTGTCCATGAGTATTTCGTGTAGTAAAATGATCCATTTCGTCAGAAAAGAAACAAAATTTATCACAGTAAAGTACAAAATAAAATAGGTTCAAATATCATAATGTATAGGAAGTTGTTAATCAAAATTCCTATATGACACACAAAAACAGTGTATAAACAAAAACAATCACAAATACATACATAATATAGCTGACAATATAACTGAATGAATATACAGGGTGTTTCTTGAGTACGTTTAAAAAATTCAGGATCATGTTGCTGACGTCATAATAAGAAGAAGAATTTATGTAAATATATGTCCGGAAGTTATTCGTTTCCGAGATACAAATTTCTGAATAATTTTCATATCCGGATGAAGTCTGGTATCCAGGGATACTTTTCAATGACAATATCAAATTTTATGTTAGTTTGTCTCTTTCTAGGGGATGGCGCCTCCTACATGTCTTTTGGGTCTTTTTATTTTTATGCGTACCTGTCTAACGTTTTATAGTACAAAAACAAATTTCAAGTATACTTTTGTGTGAAAAAATATTCTTGGTAGAGGTCGCTGCGAGCAACTGTTCTCGAG